TTTCATCCCAATTAGAGTGTTTATCTGGGCTTAGTTCACCTATAGTGTTGCCTGTGCCACTTGTGGGGGGAGATGAACTTTTATGAAGGGCAATCACTGTGCGTCAGATAAAAACAGCTTATCTAGCTCAGGGATTTAAGGCTTTAGTGCTGGAATTATTTTTCCTCCAATTTGTTTGTGCTGCGTTAACTGCTGCTGCGGGTCAGGGTTGCTATCCTGTGGTGGGGGGAGTGAGGGGGACAGTCAGGAGAAGGAGAGAGATGGAGGAAGAACATGGTAACACACGTGGGTCTATAAGATCATGTCCACAGGGCTGCCAACTGGAAAATGGAATAAATGGAGCACATCCCATCATCCCATCAGCCGCAGCCACAGCTGCATGATATGACCTGACACATGTAAAAACCATAAACTCCTCACAGGTCCATCAACAAGGCTGTCATATGAATAAGACTCACATTAGAGCTTCATTTATTTCAGCTGGAGTATGCAGAAAACACAGATTGTAACCGCTATGCTTAAAATATTCTCTGAATAACATCGTTCCTGTCATGAAATGAAAATTTGTTTGATTTTCTTAGGAGGAGAACAGCAGAATATAAATCAGTATTAGTTCCATCTGACAAAGGTCAGATTCCAACAGACAAGGAATTTGCCTCCAGTTACACCCATCTGACAAAGGTTGTTTACACAGACAAGGAATTTGCCTCCAGTTACACTTTGTTTAAAGATGACATTAAGAGATGATGAAATAAAATAGAAATGTGGTTAGCGAAAAGATATGGACAATTCAGTATTTATGACAGATTCTTTCTATTTCTTCAAATCTCTACTGTGTAATTCTTGTTCAATTGCTATCATCATTCAACAAATAATATTAAATACTGATTTTTATTTGCCCTGTGCCTTGTAATGGGCCCCTCTCTCCACTTTGGGATTTAAGCAAGAACATCAAAGAATAAATAGAAGTGATTTTCACCTTTTAAAAGTTTATGGAAAATTGACGATAAAAAGAACAAAAAAAAAATCTATAATCTGTGTTGTTTCCTGCAACATTCCACAGTGCAGATGAGGATACATTTGATTTTATGTCACTGCGGGCCCATTGATATGTATGTGACTGTAAACCGTAGTTTATTTATTCATGTGGCTCTTTGATTGACTGGAACTCTTCACCCAAATAATAAGGAATATGTAGGTGGCTGAGTGATGGTTCACGTGCGTGCGTGCGTGCGTGCGTGCGTGCGTGCGTGCGTGTGTGTGTGTGCGTGTGTGTGTGCGTGTGTGTGTGTGTGCGTGTGCGTGTGCGTGTGCGTGTTTGTTTGTGTGTGTGTGTGTTCTCTGCAGTGCATGTGTAAAAGCAGCGCTGCAGGAAAAGGGCTGCAAAGGAGAAATATCCGCCTCATAACTCACTCTGATGTGAAGCAGAAAGTCCAACATCGTTAGGTGTAAAACCAGGATGGCAGACTGTTTTCCTGGAGTCGATGCTTTGTTATTTCAGCAGCTGAGTGTTTTTTTGTTGACTGCCATGCAGCTGTTGAATCTCAGCAAGACTGCGCAACAAAGCTGTTTATTCTGACACTGCCTTCTGCTCAGTTCAGAGATCCCACAGCTCTGACGTGCCACATTTAAAAACAGTCATTAAAATTTAAACGTGTCTCTTCGTTACGGGGACAATGATCTGTGACGTGTTTGGTGTAGGATAAGCTAAAGGAAATGTGAACATGGCGTTTGAAGGGATGTCAACAAGATGAAAAACAACAGTTGTGTTTTGTTTTTGTTTTTTTTTAAATAAAGGATAAAGGTTGAAGCAGATCTGCTGTTAACACAAGTTTACACCTCCAAGGTGCAGCCTGTTGAAGCAGATCTGCTGTTAACACAAGAATTTCCCAAGTGTGGGTTCAACAAAATTCAAATGATTAATTATTATAAAAATCGACACAGCATATATTTTTGGATAACATATTTTTGAAGACTGCAATGTTTTCATCGAATTAAATCTTAATGAGATTTTTTTTCCGATTTTGATCTTGATCTTTTTTTCTTCTGATTTTGCAAAAATTCAAATTGAGCATGTTGTTTTTGTTAGATGTTGAAAAATGATGATAATTTTTTTTGACAATTTTTGTTTGCGTGTTACCAAATAAGATCCTTTTGAAAATAATACATTTTATTTAGAAAAAATATATATATTTTTAAATTCTTTTTTAAAAATTAGATCTTTTCTACATGTTTCTCATCAGATTAGGGCATTTGGCAAAGCCCTTATTTAGCACGTTATTTTGGTTAGATGTTGAAAAATTTTGATGAAATTTTTGAAAAAATACATTTTTAAAGTTTTATTTTTGTTGCATATTTCTTATCAAAGAACGTTTTTTTTATCACATTTTATATTTTCTACATGTTTCTCATCAAATAAGAGCATTTTGACAATTTTTTAGAAAAAAATTTGAGTTTTTTGGAAACAGTAATTTTGCATGTCACTTTTGGTCACATGTTGAATAATAATGTTTTCTGCAGGTTTTTCGTCAAATTAGAGCATTTATTAGAGCACAAACAATCTTTTTTGGAATTTTTCAGAAAATTACTTACTTCACATGTCATGTTGGTCAAAAAATAAAAAAGTTTCATTTACATTTTTGAAAAGAAACTTCTAAATTTTGTGTTTTCTGCATGTCTATCATCAAGTTAGGGCATTTTAAGAATATTTTAGAAATTTTCTTTTGTTGAATTTTTCGTCAAAAAACTAATTTCACGTTATGTTGGTCAAAAGTTCAAAGATTTCCATGAAAATTATTGGAAACAAATTAAAAATTGTAACCTTTTCTGCATGTTTATCATCAAATCAGAGCATTTTTAGAATGTTTTGAGCATTTCTGGGACTTCAGGGAAAATACTCATTTTAAATACTTTTTGGAGTTTTA